ATACAGAGGTAAACAATATGGAGTGCATCATAATAAAATACTATATGCACTTACCTATGTTTAATTTCTAGATACTATACATACCCTGCAAAATTTCAGAAATCTGACTCCACAAAAGGACACAGTTTATTAAAGTTAATTCAGCTTATCTTTTAGCACTTCAATGGTAGTGATGGGCAAAGTTTCAAGAGTAAGGAGAGCTGGGTTCAAGAACCAGGTCTCACACTAGCAAAGAATTTTGGAGAACCTTAACTTCTCTGGGCCTGGCTCACACATCTGCAAAATAAGGTGACAAAGGCCCCTGAGGTGTCTTCCAACTCAAAACCGGAGTGAAAAACAGACATAAATTAAATCTTCAGCCTAGAAACACAGCACAGTAGAAAACAAGCACATGATACACATTTAGTCAAAAAAATGGAAGTTTTTTTTTTTTTTTTAAATAAAGCACATATTTAAAACAGAGCTTCCCATCTTGTATGCCCTGGTGTGCTGGGCCTGGAAGTGGTCATACATGTGTCAAGATAATGGTCCCCTCAGGACAGGAGCTCATGACATGAAATGGTTGGGGAAGCACAACTTTTTAAACACACTACCATTACAGCAAAAAAATAAATCTTTCTTTATTGAGATAAGTTTCAAACTAAATTTATAAAATATTCTCACCACCCTTTGTTTAGCAAAGACAGAATGTTCTCCTTATCATCTGGTACTCAGGTTATCTAATCTTTATACAGAAGATATGAACAGCAATTTACTTGGAGCAGCAGAAAGGCTTCCTTACGCAATGTATGGATGTTACTTCTCTAAGAGTAACTCCTGACAAAACAATACTTCCAACATGTTTCAGTACATACAGAGAACATACGGCAGCAACCATCCCCAAGAGATGAAATTCTGCTAAAGAACATTTAATACAGTAACAACTGCAATTTCTGGTTAAATACTTATGATAATAACTACTTATCCTTTTTAATAGTAGTAACTCAGGGATTTTTTGGTGTGAAAAATCTGCATTGCTCCTTGTAATTATTACTACCTACAACTTCACCTTTTTTGAGAAAGATGATCATCTATAACATGCATATAAACGTATGAGGGTTTACTTTCAACACATGAGCTCAATGGTACTTCCTAATAAGCTTTTTTTTTTCAAGGGCCCAAGAAATAAAACTCTCCATCCTTTGGATACCTGATCACCTGTATTTATGGGTAATGACCTCCTTTTCTCCACTCTCACAGCCAGTTGCTGCACCTTTGCCACAAGTGAAATAAAAAGCCCTCAATCCAGATAACAAAGCTACCTTACCAACTGTGCTTCATTCCGAAGGGTGGGTCACCCTGAAGGCAGCTGCTTGTCTTGTTATGTCTCCAAGGAGGTCCACAGATGGGCTGGTTGCTTCTGAAACACATATATTCAACTGGACAGGGATGATTCTCAAATGAGTATACTGTGTAAATCAGTGTTAGAGATAGCACGTGTCTATCAGCAACCTGTAAGTCAAAGGGCCAATAAACCCCTAAGCCCTTTCCACTGAAGGGCTTTTTAAACAGTCTTTCCTTCCTGTGGTTCTTCATTGAAATGGTTACCCAACGAGCTTCCAAACAACAAAAAAGCTCAAAACTATAGATTAAAAAAACCTTACTCATCTTGGAAATATCTGAGAAATATTTGGATTTTACCTACTATGGTGATGCTTAAGTGCTATGTAAGAAAAATGTAATATACATATCCAACGAAAGAATGAACCAGGTACTACAGCACTAGAAATAATGTAAACACTAAGGGGTGGAAAAAAAGGGACCACCTTACCTTAAATCATTGAGTTTAAAAGGCATATACTCTGAGAATTAGATGAGTCCAGTATTCTATTACAGGGGAGATTTCATTTTTGTTTGATCTTTTTGAACACACTGCCCAACATGTCCCACATAAAAGTCTCTTCTAGAAGGTGGCGATGTCGTTCCTAGCAAGTTCTATGCCACTCCCCAAATCACATATAATCTATCATGGCAAATATTTTTAGTGTTACAACTGAAATGGGCAGGATAACAAACTTTGGATGTTTACGTACTTTGTATTTCATTATGGACTCAAATCCCTGACTGATCTGAGATTTAACTAGTCAGGGACACAAAAATATTCAAGGAACTCATGGGTCTATATTGAATATGACTTAATATTTTCATTCCCCAGAAGACATTACAAGTGGAGAGAGGCTTATCTATGGCTTTAATCACAGGGTTCTCTTCTTGAATTGCCTCCCCTAGTATCTTTAAAATCCAATCTACTCTCAATGACCCAGCCACTTCTGTGGCTCAGCATTTCCACCCACAAACCCCCTTCCCCCCCACAAACACACATTAAGAGCCCCTCCCTTCCTCCTCTTTTTTAGTGTACTTTGTGCACAGCAGTCTTTTCTTTTTACCGTAGTTACTTGTGGATGTGGAGTAATCTTCCAGAGCATATGACAGACTCCAGAAGAACAGAGGTGTGTATCTTCCACACGTTTATGTCTGCATAAATGGAGTATTTTCTTGCATTTGTCTCTCTAAGGTTGAAAAAGTAACACCTATGAGTGTTTCTGAAGTTCAGTATCAATTCAGTCCTAACCTAATCTCTAGTTATTTAAAAATAATGTTAATAATGAGTTTGAGATCTTAAGATTGTGGTGTGTCTCAATTCTAAGTAGAGTAAAACCAGTCAAGCATACTTTTAATACTTTTAAAATTCAGGGTATTTTGCCATATTAGTGTTTTCTAAATTGTCACTCCGTATATTATATTTAGAGAAAGCAAGACTATCCAGCCAAATTCCTCAATCAATTACTCAGAGATAGTGTCTTCCTGAGCATTAACTATTTTTATTTTGCTTCAGAAAGGATTTGGACAACTTAATAAGTATGAGCGCATCTGAAGATTGGTGAAACTAAATGATATCGATGTCAGATTGAAAATTATAGAAATCAGCTAATAATACAAAAAAGGAAAAGAATCTGTAAGAAAAGCAGAACAGATTCACTTTTTTGAGTTATAACTAGGCTTATTAAAAGTACAGTAAATTAGCTTGATGACTGCTTCTGGAATCTCACAGCACTCATGATACTACGATCTTGGCAGGGTGGCTCATCAATCCTCCCCCTTCTAGGTGACGGTTCTGAGAAGGTAAGAGCCACATCTTGCTCATTTTTATATACCCAGGGCACATCAGAGTAGATAGTTAACTTCCTGTTGACCAAACTAAATAATCCTTCCATTTATTTCTATGAACCAGATGCTAGAAAGGTTAATTTCAGTAAGGTCCATCCTATATCAAAGGCTAACTGTGTTAATGGTATAAATGCTCAATCCTTCCAACCTAAAGGGAAATGAGCCTACTTTGGGAAGTTTTCAGAAGAAGAATGTGAATAATGTTGCAAGTAGAGAAATATGGGCTATTTGTTGCAATAACAGACTATAAATGCTCTTCATCCAATAATAAATTATGTATGATTTTATCATTGTTTGTTTCCTCCCACTATTTGAGCTTCCAATATAGTAATAGAGGCATAAAGAAGAAAACTACTCTTTTTTTTCTACTCGATAAAAGGTATATGCATATTGCTCTGAAAGTATATTAATAGAGAACCAGATATTAAAATTTCAACATACTTATTGTTAAAATACATGCATATTTCTAGCTAACCCTGTAAGTACTTGGAAGTTTCCACTACAATTTTTTTGACCCTCTTATAAAGGGTAGAAATCTTGCAATCTGTTTATTTTTTTTAAAGGAAGGTTAAATTGTTACCACTTTTCCTCAAGTCATATTAATATAATGTAAAATGATGTTAAGATTATGAATTCATGTTGGCCACTCTAACACTGAATTTTGATACTGTCCAGATGATTTGCAAGCACAGGTGAAAATGGCTTCTGAGGGAGAAGAATGAAATTTCTCCTCAATTACACCAATAGTTACTATACCAACTTCCTTTACTGAGAATTTTTCCACTATCTGCTCAATTATAGAAGAACTGCTGACATGCAACCAGTCAAAATACTGATAAAGCATGCAAGAGGAGAGAGGTGAGGGGAGGATGTTTCAAAGTCACAAAATTAGAGTATTACATTCATATAATAAAAAAGGGAGTATGGAGATTTGAGATTAATTGCATGTTGAATGCAGCAGCAGCGTCCTGTCACTCAACTATACTCCTGACTAGTAGGTTGTGAATTCAGGACAATTACTTTTAGAATGGCTCTTACCAAAAAAGCCGACAGAAACAACAAAAAGGAAAAGAAAAAAAGTACCTCATTATTATAGTCAATTTTCTTAAGTTCTACAGAAGTAAAACCTTTGCATAGAAGAGCAGCAAGAAATGTTTCCCTCCACAGATCTGTTAAGCATGTATTACAAAAGTTAACCATGTATGTGACATGCCATATGCTGCTGGGCACAGTTCATGATTTCAATGTGTGCAATACACACCAACCCTAACCTAACAGAAACTGAGTTTCTGACTTTAGAGAACAGTCTCTTGACAATCTAGCACTTGTGCAACAAAATTAAGTTTCATACACAAACTCTTAAACCCATGGGTCAATTCTTCCTGCCAGTGGAAGCAGAAATAAGTTATCTTCCATTTGGTTTTTCCTTAGCTCAAGTAAATGTGTGAGGGCAATTCCCATTTGTGCAAAAGGTTAGAAGTTAAATCAGACCTACAGAATGTCAACGTGTGATTTCCAAAAGCTTTACAACTAGCAGATCAAAGTATGTGCTCCTATCAGGATTATTTATCTAGTAATATTTGTAAACTAATCAGAAGATGTCATTCAGTCCAAAATTTTTTGCATGTTCTACTTCAATTAACTTGCCTTTTGGAATTCTTAACGTTAGGGATGACACTGCTTTCAACTAAAGCTCTGAGGGAACCTCTTAACTCAAGAGAGCAAGTCTTATTTACTAAAGTGAGCACAGGAGCCCCAAAAATGTGTACAAAGACCTACTCACCACACTGTTCTTTCCCTTCAACTTTGTTTATTGATGTACTGAACATGAAAAAGTACAAAGAATCCAAACACAAAAGAAAACATGTACAGCCTCTTAAATACTCAACAGAATATATTTTCTATTCCAACAGATGTGAATTAAGTCATACTGTACAACTTCAAATAAATACCAGCCTTACATTTTATTAAGTGCTCTGATAAACACTGTAAAGTGAAGCACAATTTGCATGCCCTCTCATCAATGCCTTGGTTTGCTACAGTAGTATAGGAAAGAAGCATGTAGCTGCTGTTTTCCCGTGAGGGAAACCTTATTAATTTTTTTTTTAAGTATATACATGTATTTTATTTTTTAGTGTTTTTTTTTTTTAAACGCAGAAGGTTAACTCTGACAATCTAAATGCACCTAAGGATATGAGAAAGTGCTAAGCCAATTGATTTCTGAATAGCATTGAGTGGGTCAGCATGAAAACTCGCTTATTCACTTTAGCACGCGCCTCACAGTATATGTACTGTACTATACTGAAAAATTTTATAACTACAGTTTTAAATAATAAAAAATAAAACTCAAAGCAACCGCAAAGATAATGTACAACTATGTTATGCATAGCACATTGCCTGTTCTAAGGGGAAGCACGTGAGCATCTCAGTTTATACAAAAAGCAGGACGTAACTATATAGTTCTCAGTGCATCCTGATGAAGGCCGTTTTTTGCCTTCAGCTTTTTTGAAAATTTATTATAAGCTAGATGCTAATCAGAAAATATTTTGTATTTTTTAAAATTTCTTTCATACATGGTAAAGACTTATTTTATTATTTCCCCAAATAGTGGTTTAAGCATCATACAAAGTTAAATTTCAATAGCATACAGATATTTATGATTTTTGTATGAAAAATGTAAGGAAATTTGTTCAAAACCTATGGTTATACTCATTTTTTTTACCACAAACATATTTATAAACAAAAATGTAGCATCACCATAAACAGCTGAAGCTAGACTATCTACAGACAAAATTAGCAACAAATCTGATGCACTGTAAATTCAAGTCCTCAGGACAACAAAAGTGATTAAGCAAGACCTCAAGTAACAATGTTAATGCCATTTACAAAGGAAAAAACTGATACAAAAACATTCAAAACCTGAACATCACTTGGCATGTAAGGAAAAAAAAAAATCAAATTAGCTGAACGGTTCATAAACACAAGGTCTTATTTACATTACACAAAGCTCAGGTGTTAGCCTTGAACATAACTTTCAAAATACCTTCAAATATATCCAACTCAGATCACTTTTGCTGATTTGCTGCAGTACAAATCATGTGCAACGTCTTTTTTTCCTTAAGACAAAACAATTCTTCAAACAATACTGCAAGTACATCACTAAACACCATGAGCTCTATCTGAAGGGATTTCTTTAGGAAGAACAGATTTTTTCCCCCATCTCTTGGTAATTTAAATTTCTTGCCTGCTCTTATATATTCTTTTGTAAATTTTTTTTATTTGTTTCAAAATCACAAATCAATGTGAGCCACCTATCACATAATAACCAGGATGATCAGACACTCCACTGGTGATTACAAAAACGAAACCAGCAGTGTTTCCCCCATTGATTCTATTCCTTTCATACAAAGATCTCAAAAGTATTTTCTACATCATAAATCTTTCTAAATTTTCCAACCGCTGCAAATTTCCTGGTAAATTTTAAAAGCTCACTAGGTGTCATATGAAGAGATTTCTCAAAGTATTCAAGTCAAAATATTTGTTCCAGGACCAGTAAAAAGTTTCTCCAAATTTTCTTTTTTATAAAAATAGATGCTTTTTTTAAACCCACATCAAAGAGGCTCTTATCTCTTTGGCAAGGTACTGCTTTACGAAAAGTTCTCCAGTATTCTTACAATAAGCGTTTATAATGTAGCCCCCCCTTCCCCAACCCAAATCATAATTACAAAATAAATACTGTTTTTAACTTCATAAATAAAAATGTAAACTTCAAAATACTTTTCTTAAACAGACATAACAGCAATGCTTTAAATGTAAACCAAACACAAAGCTAATCAGAAAAAGGAAAAAAAGGGGGGAAAAAAAAAGACACAACCAACTGAAGAATTACAACACAAAGCCTCAATATTTACTCACAGGTTCAAGGCAGTTATGTAAAAAGAAAAGAAATGTCTTCCCTTAGCTGAAACACTTTAAAAGGTCCACCTTCTTCAAAGAAGGCAATAGAATGCAATGTGACAGGTAAAAACCCTGTACCTCTTGTCCATATTCAAACATAAAAGATATTTAAGAAGTTTTAATTCAAATACTAGCAATAAAAAATCTCACATATTTCTTAGGATGCTAAGTAGTCATTTTATCCCCATCTCAACACTGACTTACAAAGACATTTACTAATGTATAAAGTTTCTCTTAACTTGCCTTTGTTGTATAGTTTTCATATATAAATGGACTGAGGACAAGAGCTCATTAGGCTTTGTGCGTTTTGTTTGTCTTAAAGGAGACCTGCAGTACTCTGTCTCCCAGACGGTATCCATTGAGGCTAGCTATCGCCATGGCGGCCTCATCATAGTTTGTCATAGTCACAAATCCAAAACCTTTGCATTTATTGGTGTTAAAGTCACGGATGACCTTCACGTTGGTGACAGCTCCAAAGGGCCCAAACATTTGCCACAGGATACTCTCATCCGCGTCAGGAGCCAGGTTGTACACAAATATACACCACCCTGTTCCAGGGTGCCCAGGGATATTAATTCCAGCCAAACTGGTCATTCCATCAATGGTCATTGGAGAAAACCTACTAAACAAAATAGGAAACACACACACAAAATAAAAACAGAGGTTAGCAATGGACTTTCTTGTCCCTTTTCCATCCCCAACAATGTTAGTAATTTCCCTCCCCCAACAGATACGTACAGCTATTTGATGTTTCAACCATCCGCGTGTGGCTTTGCAGTGACATGCTAGACTACTGAGGTATTAAGTTATGAAATGGCCATTACTTGCTGTATTAATCCACAATAGCAAAGAAATATATTTAGAACTGACTCCATGAATTAAGCAGGATTGGCAGGGGGGGGCGGAGGGGGAAACCAACACATATGTAAACATGCTATAACGTCGCAACGCAATATGAAACAAATAATGGGTTTTTTAAAGACCAGGTGGCATCCAGTGGGATAAAGATATTCCTTGAGTCAATTGTGCTTCAAAGAGCAGCTTTTCATTAGGTTGTACATGCAAAATAAAACCCAACAAAAACTTAATGAGGGGTGTGAATATCACTCCCAAATCAAAGAAACTAATCAATTGTGGGAAGGGATTATGAGTATCATGAACCTCTATCATTACCTCTTTACTCCATAAGCCATATTGAGCAGATTGTCCAACCTGCAAAACACACATTTAGCAAACTTCAGTTTTTAATTTTTCCCCTTGATGTTAAAGAAAACTGGGCTCATTACTGCCATCTTCCAAGGGGATATTCGTACATTAATAATATGTGAAGTCTTAAAACACTGAGACTTTTTACATCCCTGAGAGAATGGGTACCCACTGCCACAGGATTCTAGCTTTTCCAATGGAGACAGTTCCTCTTTACCAAGGTCAGTGCAGGGCAAGTGGCCACAGTGGTCCATCTGGGGAAACCATTCAGAGAGGAAATGTGGAAGCTCTGGAAGAGTTAACTTTTGGGAAGTTCTAACTGTGCCATGTGTACCTACGTGTATTTACATGACTTTCAATTTTCACAACTCTATTGGTTCCCGAGTATACTAAGGAACACAAATACTAACTGGCTTGTCTAATAAATGGTAGCACTGATATTCAAACTCTGCCATTTACAAAATTCTATAAATTTCCCTTTAATCTCCCAACTTTGAAGAATCAAAAATGTGTAATTACAGGTAGGAAAACCTTACTGACAACCTCGGCTAACTCTCCCATTTTTCAAATGTGCTCAACTGAGGTCCAGAAGAGGAAAAAGACCGAGCCACTGCTCTAGTGAGCAACAAAGCCAGGGGCTCAGATCCTGAGTCTGGTGCTGTTTAAACTGTGCGGCAACCCACTGGGATTTAAGCAGCCAGGCAGGAAACAACTTGAGTTTCTCTTAAAATTTTTAAGAGAAAGTAATCAGGGTGGGCAGGGACTCTTTAAAACTTTCCACCTTTTTCCTATGTCAGAAATTAAATTAGTTTTATAGTATATGATTCTTCTTGCTTTATCTATCAGCTATAAAAAGACCATTCTGATGTCCCAAGTTTCCACAGTGCTTACCAATTAATTGCATTGTTGCGAGGAGGCAGGCATAACTTAATATATAGCCACATCCAGGCTCAACTGCCACAAGGCTCAAAACTCCAAAGATAACCTTGGGGTGATGGTGAGGGGTGCACAATTTTTTCTCTTTCTTTTAACACTCGCGAATGGTTAAAGTTTGAGAAGTGCCTCAACCTTAGTGTCCAACCTATGCCATCAAGTCAGGCTAGAGCACACATATAAAAATAACTCCTTTTAGTTTTATAAAAGCTAAAAACAAATCTCATCTGGTCTTTCAGAATTGGGGAAAAAATGTAGTCTTCTCACATCCCTGCCCCAAATCTCCACTGGGAATTTTGTGTTTTGTGAAAATTAAGAGAATGAACTGAGCTGAACGTAAAGGGATAGAGCAAATCACAATGACAAAGGATCTTCATCCTTGTGTGCCTGTCTTGCCCCACTACCTTCTCACTGTACCACAGAGCACAGGCCCGGGTCATTGCAGGTTTACAATGAATATGTGATGACCGAACAAAGGCAATGAGGTCACTGAGATAATCACCAACTACTTAATCTAGAATGAAAACTACCAGGAGGATCGGCTGGGCAAGCATGTTTGCACATGCAAGGGAGAAAGCACATGTGTGAAAAGAGCACATATGTGGGAAGGCTGTGCTTTTAGTAGAGGTGATCAGTATAGTCAAAGATGCCTTGCCCTTACATTCAAGAATAAGGGTCAAAAATACTAGCAATAAAGATGAACACAAATTGGTATCACCAAGTAATCTGATAAAAAAAAATTCATCAAATTGCTGGAATGATCAATACAAAATGCATTTGGCATATGATACCTGTAGAACAGAACAGACTATTGAGGTCTCCATCCAAAGTGCTAAAAGGCTCAGAACAAAGAAACACCTTATTAATTCACCCAAAATAGTTACACCATCTAAGCTCACTAATTTCATCCAGGTAGGGACTGTCACACTTTGCTACCACTCACTCGGGACAGCAACTGAACATCCAGAGACAGAGTTTTCTTAACAAGTTTTCAGTGTTTTCAAGACCTGCCCCAAAAGCAAATTACAATCACACATCATTTAACAATGGGCGATATATCCTGGGAAACAAATCATTAGGCAATTTGTCATCGTGAGAACATCATAGCGTATACTTACACAAACCTAGGTGATGTAGCCTACTATACACCTAGGCTATATGGGATAGCCTAGTGTTGCTAGGTTACAAACCTATAGAGCATGTTACTATACTATAGGCAACTGTAACACAATGGTTAAGCATTTGTGTATCTAAACATACCTAAACAGAAAAAAGTAATGTATTGCACTACAATGTTACAATGGCTATTATATCCCTAGGCAATAGGAATTTTTCAGCTCCGTTACAATCTTACTGGACCACCTTTGTCTATGTGGTCTGTCATTGACCAAAGCATTGTTACACGATGCATGACTGTACATGCACTGAGGGAGAAAGCTCTCATTCCTTGCCCTCCACCTCCCGCTCCAGGCAGGAGGGCTAGGACTTTTGTACCAGGATCTCTGAGAACTCTCCCAATGGGCTTCACATTTGCCCTATCTGTGAAATCCCATATGATATCATGATCTTCACTGATTTCTTCACTTGTTTTTCATTTAGGAAAAATTTGGACCTTTGGAATGTAAGCCAAGTTATCTCCCCTATTCCTTTCTCCTCCCCTATCATCAAAAAAAGTAATGAAGAGCACGGAACCTAAGAACCAGGGACCAGGCACTGATGAAACCCCTGCCTGGTATGCAGCTGGGCCCAGAAATTTTCCTTGCTCTCTCCGGGCCACACATACACATTTCCCATGGGAGCTCAGAGAAGGCAATGGGTGCTTCACATGGGCACCACATACTCCATCTAGTAGCAGTTGGCAAACTGTAAACTAGACAGTTACAAGAGAAAATGATGCAGTTCCTTGCACATGAGGACCCTATTGCTCCCTAGAATTATGTCTTTGGTGGGTCTGTCCATAGCTCAATGACATCTTTGGTATAGAGTCATTTAAAAATGGAAGATTTTTAAATGGAGACCAAGTTAGTAGCCTCCAGAATAACTGGGGGGAGGAAGGTGCGCAGGATGATGTACCACACTGTGGGAAGTACAGTGTTTCCCCAAAAATAAGACAGGGTCTTATATTTATTTATTTTTCCTCAAGAAGACACACCCTAGGGCTTATTTTCAGGGGATATGTCATTTTCCCCCTAAAGCCTCAGCTTGCAGCACGCACAGGATGGCCGGGACCTGACAGGGGGTGCCGACCTTGTTGGTGAGGCCGCCTGCACCTTCCGATCACCTCTGGGATAGTAGCTGTCATGGTGGGGCAGATGAGAAGGGCTGCTCATCTTCTTTACGGCTCCTCGACAAAATGCGTGGGTTGTACACATACGCTGCGTAGCCACGCCCATCACTAGGTCTTATTTTCAGAGTAGGGCTTATATTGTGCAAATGCTTAGAAATCCTGCTAGGGCTTATTTTATGGGTAGGTCTTATTTTCAGGGAAACACAGTAAATATTAAAGTGTCCATTACATATATATTTTTTAGTATTTAAAAATAAAGTATTCTTTACTTATTTTTTAATAAATACACTGCTCCCGGGATCCTCACTCAGTCCCAATTGCCACATGCTTCCCTGGTAGAAGACTGAACAGTCCTTCCAAGGACAGAGGTGGCCAGTGGCACTCTCACCCATTCTTTAGCCTGAGCATAATCCACTTTACAAACAACACATTCAGTGGATTTGGAGGATTAGACTGGATAACCTAGCTTTCATTAAAATAACCTTCACCTAAAGAAAAGGCAGCTTTAAAAAGATCCCTACAAATTAAAAAATCGGAATTGAGGATGACATCAGTAAGAGAAACCCAAATAAATAAGAAGAGTGTCAACTATTTTTCCTACTCCCACCCAGTACAAATTACATTATGAGTAGTTAGACACAAGATGATTCAACACGTCTCTCATGAAGTCAGATGGGAAATTCAAAATTAATCATTATTTTACAGAACTTGCTTTAAAAGGCATATTTATTAAGATGATAAGTAAATGAAAAATGAACCCAGCCAGTATGATTAGCAAGACATTTGATATACTGTTTATTGTATCTTTAGCCTATATTTATTTTCTATATTTGATTAAAGTTTATAAGTTAATGAATAGCCAAGCCCATGTACATATGTCATATATGGAAAAAATATTGTAGGGGTATGTGTGCAAACATTTTTGGTTAACAGAAATATAACTCAGATGATAACTAGGTAATATTCTGAACACAACCATGTATCAGGTAGATCATCCCCATTTCAAAGCTAGGTGTTTATAATAGAAAAATTTTTAAAAAGGCACCTGCCATATCTTTAAGAAATTTAGCTGATAGACTATGGGAGGTGCTACATGCAAGTAAAGAGGAAATGTGAAATCAGTTAAACTCAGAAATAAAAATATAAAGAGGTTATTAATGAGAAAGAAAATAAAACTCTGAACCCCACAAATAATGGTTATCAAAACCTCTCAAAAGCACCAAGACCTGCTTTGAAATTATCCACAGTAGGATCAACTTATACCTTATCCAATCAGGTGGTATCATCTGTCCTCTAAGAAAGACGGAAATTATTAAAGAGGAACAATACCAGTTTCTTCCAAAAGGAAACTGTAATAATGCAACTAGCACATGCCTTAAATGTAACTCAAGTGCTGATTTAAAAGGCTCCTTTAAAAATGCATAAAGGCTCATAGAAGCAGGCACACAGGCCATTAAACTAGATCACATTCAATAAAATTAAAGCTACTCCACAAAAAAAGAACACGAAAAAATTTGGCTTAAAGTTTAATTTAGATATCATATCCCAAGAATACACTTAAGGGGCTTGAATTATACTATCCATCCAAATAAATAAGGCAGGTCTTATTTTGAAAATTGCAATTAAATAAGCATATTAGATCGGCAGTGCTCGTGTTAAAATAATTATCTAATTGTTGATGTGGGTTGACTGAGCCATAAACCTCACAAGCCCCCATTTAAAATTAACACTTCTTATATGGATTTTAAATTTTTTTGACCTTAAAAGATACGATATACTTCATGATTTTTAAGAGTATCCTCTTTTGCTGTAAGGTGACAAACTTAAGGCAAGGGCATTAAAACACAAATATTAGGGACAAAATATGTGCTGTATGGATTTAGACCTGAACTATAGAAAAGTGCAAAACACCCACAAAACAAGCAAATTCTTAATTCAAGAGTCTCTATGAGTTCAAAGAAGGTAGTTCAGCCTTTATTCAACAGAACGAGGGGGGTAAAAAAAAAACCCAGGTGGCCAGGCACAGTGGCTCACGCCTGTAATCCTAGCACTCTAGGAGACCGAGGCAGGAGGACTGCTTGAGGTCAGGAGTTTGAGACCAGCTTGGGCAAGAGCAAGACCCTGTCTCTACTAAAAATAGAAAGAAATTAATTGGCCAACTAAAAATATATGGAAAAAATTAGCCAGGCATGGTGGCACATGCCTGTAGTCCCAGCTACTCGGGAGGCTGAGGCAGAAGAATCCCATGAGCCCAGGAGTTTGAGGTTGCTGTGAGCTAGGCTGATGGCACGGCACTCTAGCCCGTACAACAGAGTGAGACTCTGTCTCAAAAAATAAAAAATAAATAAAAGTCAAGGTAATGACAACCAAATTATACATATGGTATTAAAGAAAAAGGACCAAACGTACATCAGGTTAAACCTGAATTCTAGTAATAACTTTTTCCAACACTCAATCTAGATGAAACACCTTCACTGTCCACACCGATTAGGTCGCATTTATTTTATTATCTGGACAGAGATTATGGGAGGAATGGGAAATGGAGACAACAGTCAGGAATCTGAAGGGAGAAGAATCATCTCCCCGTTTTTCTAAAACCAGGTTTCTCTTACAACTGACAACTCTCATTCTCTTCTTCCAAAATTTCTATCTATAGGAGTCAAGAAGAGAAAGAATTTCCAAGTTAATGATAACATATGGTACTAAAAGATAAAAACACAGAATGGATAGAAGATATTTTAAAAGACATTAAAATTGACCACCAAAGCATCCCATAAAACTTTACCCAACCAGAAATAAAAAGCACAGAGCAGCAGGCAGGGTGGCTAGGCAGACCTGACAGTGGACAGTGCAGTCATCAATAGCCCAACACTTGCGTCACCCACATGCCTTGCAATTTCAATAAGCACTCTCCTGAATCCTGCCTTTTCATTCCTTTTGCTCAATCTTCCTCAGAATCCAATCTTGATTCTGAGAATCTGTTTTATTTAACTACCATAAAACAAAATCACAACCTAAACTGGAGGGAAAAAAACAACAACTGAAACTAATACAGTTCTCTAATAACATTTTATACCTTCAGAGTATTAAAATTAAATAATAAATTTTAAAGAACTTTCCTCTATCTAAGCTCAAAATTCTTTTCTAGGCCCCAAAGAGCTCTAATGTTCATTATGACAGGCTGCCTATGAAATACCTGTAAAATTCCTTCAGGCTTGTTTGTCCTAAATTTGCAAAAAAAAAAAAAAAAAAAATCACTTAAGAAATATGCCATAGAGGAAACCCACAGGCAGAGCTAAAACAAGGGGGGAGGAGGGGGATTGTGAGACTTTTCTCCACAAGGGCAAGCATCAAGCAGCCCCATCTCTGGTTGGCATCTTTCCCTTTAGTCTGATCACTACTATCATCCACCAAAGTTAAAGGTGGCAAAGGTTTCTTTTCTACCAAGGCTCTTTTTCTCACAAAGTTACAGAACACAGTGAAGTGAATCACAAGGCTCAATCCACTGGGACCCAGTAACCCAGTTCAAATGCAGTATTCTGACAGGACCACCTCTTCTCCCCCAGCAAAGGCCAACATAAGTAAGAAGTTAACATCATATTTATGGCAAATTTCCTTCTCATGCCTCACGTAATACAACTGAGCATTTTTTAAAAGAAGAGATGTTTTGACTGATTTTATCTCCATTTTCTTCAGCACTCTAAATACCTCAATGGAAAAAAAAAATGCAAGATTTAAGCTAGGAAACATGTGTAACTCCTTGATCTTAATATGTTATATCTGTGACTATATTTTAGGTAATTAACTATTCTGTCCCAGGAAGAAAAGAAATAAAATTGATATATACTTGGAAAAAAAAAAATTAGTGTGTGGGGTTAGATGGCATTCCGGCTGCAGTATACCATATGGCCAAAAAGGATATTTTAAAAACGTCCTGGAAAATAAAAACTGAGTGACTTGCTTATGAAACCAGAAACTCTTTGTGCTCTGTTTAACTTCTTAAAAGTTACTGTTCTTCTCATATGCAGATTAGGGACTTTTTTTTTTTTTTTAATGACTCCAGCTTTGGTTGTTACCCTAGAAGTAAAATAATACTTTAAAACTTAGAATATTTATACCTGCCAAAAAAGGAGTTATCTTCTTTAGGCTAAAGCCATGGTCATTCTATGGACAATACAAAGGTCAACAAATTACCACCCACAGGCCAAATCCAGACTGCCTGTCACCTGTTGCTGTATGGCCCAGAAGCTAAGAATAGTTCAAGAGTTGTTGTTTGTTTTTTTTTAAAGAAAAAAAAAAGGAAAAAGAAATAGCTGCAGCAGAGACCATGGCCCACGAAACCTAAAATATTACTATCTGGTCCTTTACAGAGAAGGTCTGCCAACCTCTAAACTACAAGAAACAAAAAAGGGAGGAGAGAGACTGATTTTCAGAAAGTTAACATAGTCACATAGATTATATATCCTTAATGGTACACATATTATAAAACAAAGTAGCTGAAAGAGCCTGACCTAAAAATTGAAACTTGAGAATAAAATCTTACCAAGAAAAAAACTAAAAAAGGGAAAATCTGAAGCCCTGGAAACAGTTAAGAAGACCCAGAAATCGATCGATTAAAATTTCTCAACCTTGGCATTAGTAATGTTTCGGGCCAGATAATTTGCTGTTTTTTGGGGCTACGCTATATGCTGCAGGAGGTTTAGCAGCATCCCTGGCCTCTACTCACTAGATGCCAGTAGCACACCCATCCAAGTTACGCCGACATAAACACCTCCAGACATTGCCAAATGTTGCCTGGGGGGCAAAATCACCCCCAGTTCAGAACCACTGCTGCATGTTATTGCCCTTTTTTCCCCACCTTCAGTATTAGCAAAAGACACTATTCCCCATGAAGGCTCTCTCTGTGCCCATAAAAAAAAGAAAAAAAACCAACAATAATGATAAACGTAAACCAGAGCTCCTGTCAATAAAAAGCACTGGACAGTAAACCTGAGCATTCTCTCTCAGTTTAGAAGCTGGGCACAAGAACTAGACCAGACTTACCTAAAACGCTGTGCCTGCTGAGCTAGCGGTCCTGGATACCTTCTGTTTGGAGACTGGTACAGCTGGGAAAGGATGGCCTGATTGGTTTTTTGGCTTGGATTATTAGCAAACTTTACAGTGATTGGCTCTGTGGCACCAGGAGGTTTCTGGCCATTTAGGCCTTTGATAGCTTCTTCTGCCTCAATCCGCTTGTCAAATCGAATAAACCCTACACCCCTTGATATGCCTACGGTAGATTTGAGTAAAGATTTGGGAAAGAGGGAGTGGAAGGAGAGGGGAGGGAGAGAAGAAAGGATAAATTAATTTTTCCTTCTCAAGAACATGTTTTTCACTCACATATAACATTTGTCATAAAAATCACACCAAGAGGAAAGTTTTACCTTAACTTTACTAGCAAGTCAATCTACAAATCTCAATTTTGCATTTTTTTTAATGCATGAAGTCAGTTATACAAGCTGAGTACCTATTATCACGTGCCTTCCAACAAGCCAAGACAACAAAGCACACGGAAGTCCATGTTTTCTCTCTCTCCCCCCCTCCCATCCACTCTCTTTAATAATGTCAACAGCATGCCTGAGCTCCATTTTTCAAATTGTGCTATTGGACAAGCAGCTCAGAAATGAGAGGCACCATAGTTCCCTTCCTTGAGACGAGAACAGAAGCAAGCATTTGCTAAAAATGCTAAAAAGCTATGCTAAAAATACATACACAACAGTAGAAAGATATATGTCAGCTGAAATTTTAAATAATATATTTGGTTTAATAATAATATATAGGATACAGGTCCTTTAATAAAAAATGTCTACAGAGGCTCTTCCAGTTCTCTGAAGCTCCCCCATGCTTCTAACCAGCTGTCCTTTCTTGGAGAAATACTATATGGAGAAAAAGAAGTGAAAGAGGACCTAGATTTTAAAAATAAACAAGAAGTAAAGCATCAAAGCTTTCTGGCCTCAGCAGCATTACTCCTGACTACAGAAGGTCACTCCCTTGTCCCATATTCTCCCCACTTTGAAAGACAAGAATGGAAAAGCAAAGGGATGGCCAAGAACCTTTCCAGCTTAAGAGAAGTGGCAGAGGGAAACCCAACTCTTTCCCTTTAAATTAGGGTGCACAGGCTAGTCAGGGTGGCCACAGCTGGTCATCATGAGATAAGCAGTTGCAGGGAAATGCTTTTGGGCAAGTAATTTTGTACTGGCAGTACCAGTTTGGGACTAGAGCTAGAATAGTATAGATGGCTCAGAGTATGTCAATGAAGGAAAAAATGAAGGGCTATTGAGAAAGGTATGCCAAGAAAATAAGCTAGACCATTGTGATTTATAGAAACTTTAAAAAGAAATGCAGGTTTACTTGCTTTACAATTAATACTGTGTAAGGCCAATGGCTTAGAATTTTCTAAGGTAGACAGGCATTTTTCCATATATGCTTATCTCAAACAGCCCTTATCACTTTACCTTGTCTATTTAAACCATATCTATTGCACATTATTACCATCTGATGGCTGAAGAAGAAAATTGCAGGGTTTCATTTTTCATTTCATGTAAGTTCACTCTGAAAGCCTTACATATGAAAGATTAAATGGTGAAATCATACATCCTTTCATGTATCCAACTAGCTTTTATTGAGAATTAATAACTTCTAGAACTTAGCTGTCCCATTAGAAAAGCACTAGATTAGCAATAAAATGGCCTCTACACAGGTTGAGTCACCTAACCCAATAGTCCTCAAACTTGAGCACGTATCAGAATAACTGGTGGGTAAAACACCCATCCTCAGAGTTTTATTCAATAGGTTTTGGATGGGGCCCAAGAATTTGCATTTTCAGCATGGTTCCAGAAGGACACTAATGCTGCAAGTACGGGACTATATCTGAGAACTGCTGACTAAACCACAAAGTGGTGAGCCAGGACCACCCGGGATCCCACGTACTCAGGATGGACTGTCAGTTAAGAGCTGAGATAGGCTTTCTGCATCACAGGAGAAGTCTACTCTCAATTCACCAAGACCTCATTGAGAATGAATGAATTTAAAAGCACGAATGATATAAACAAAAGGCCATTTTTGTTGCTTTGAACAAATTTATCTGGATTGGTAGGCCTGAATTTCTCTTTAATCCTATTAGCAGTCTGTGTGATACAACACAGTGTGATAGAATGTATGAGTGCCATGAAATAACTAATGCAGTTCAGAAGACTGCGTTTTACATGTTCTCAACTTGACTAAATTTTCTCATGACAGCAAAATCTTCAGGCTATTCTCCCAGGCTTGTATGAAGTGGTAGATCTCTCTCTACCCAGAACTGTAAGGGTGGTGCTTCCTATGAAACCAATTAACAGAAGGAGGAGAGGGAATAGCATGGGCTGCTCTGATCAAATTCAGATCAACTAAATTGATCTTCACTTGAAGAGTTAAAAATTTGGTCTCAGTTTATTCTGCAGTTAACGCACTGCTTTATTTAAAAACAAAAACAAAAACAAAAAAACTTAGACATTGCAGTATGTCTCCAGGGTATTATCATTGTGGGAGAGGGGGCAGGAGGAGACGGTAGAAAGAAACAAGTAATAAAGAAAAGCTACCTATTTTTTTTTTTAACTCACAAATCTTAATGTGGCTGCTTGAGTATAGGCACTACAGGAAATCTACCACCCCCAACCCCTTTCCTTTTTTTCTCCATTTTTAAAATGTTTCTGAAAGAATGAGTATTGCTTTTATAATAGAAAAATAAATCTGTACTTTATTTCCAAAAACTGTAATCAAATCTATATTGCTAGCTTTTCTTTAAAAGATTTGGCAGAACAGCTCCCTAACATAGAAAAGTTTTAATAAACATCTTAGTCTTCTCATTGCAGTTTGGCTAAAAGTTACATTAGGCACAAAATAGGTTCTTAACATTCAAAATTTCATACTCTTAATTACATATGCCTATACAGCACTGCACAGACCTGGAAAACAGCCTTAACAGCAATTACTAGTGTGGATACAGTGTAATCCTCCCTTGCAGGACTAGGTGTATATTGCTGCATTAGACGTTGCTTTTTTACAAAAATAAGATTGTTTATTAGGACTTTATAAGTGGGATGGGAGCTTTTTTCACACAGTGGCTTGGAAATGAAGATTATAGCATCTATAAATTTATTACAAAGCCATGAAACAGGCTTCAAACCTGCACCTTCAGGGTGGAAATGACTCAAGTGCGCTCACTACACTCCACAATCTATTTTTGTCCATGCATATTTATGAACAATTCCAGCAGAAAATTGCATTTTCTGGCCCACATATACCTTTGATGTGTTCTACAGGCAAGACTGCTGTATGAGAAGACAGAATATTTCACAATCTGCCAGTCAGAAAGAGCAAAAGACTGTCCAGAGTAGCTGCCTACTTACCAGTGACCTGGTCAACAAGAATACGAGAAGTAATAATGCGTCCATATTGTGAAAAAAGCTGTTCCAACTCCTTCTGGGTCATTGTTTTTGGAAGTCCACTGACATATAAATTTGCATCTCTGATAGAAGCTGAACTTGGGCGAGCATAGGAAACCTGAAAAGGGGAAATAAAATTAGATGTATATGCACACTCAGTCACCTCTCTTTAGAAATTCAGACTGCCTCCTTTGAAAAGGAGTTTCTGTCCAAGGGGAACGTATAACAAACTCTGGAGTTAACGCAAGCTAGGTGCCAAGTGCTTTGCTCATTTCTGCTTTAATTATAGACAAATGGAAGTGTCATTCCTCGGGGTGAAGAGGAGATAGTATTTACCCCTAGACAGTTTTGTTAAGTTCTCAAAACAAAGCATTGGTGCATACAGCACGGTACTACTACTCACGGTAATAGGTTGTCCTCAAGGGGGCCAACACCCTAGAATAGGGATTTAGGACCAATCATTCCAACCTTAAGAATCCTAAATTCACTGGACACATTTTTGTTTTCTAGCCTCTTCTACCTGTGAGGGTAGTGGTGCTATGATTCTAAAAAAAATTTACCCTTCATCAGTAAATATGCCCTTTTGATTTATGCCAAAATAACAATCTATCTTCCATAAATTCCCAGCAATTTAAATATGCAAATGAGCTATATATCCCCATTATTCTTTATTCATTGTCTTCCTGTCCACAAATCTTTTTAACCTCGATTTTCAAGAGGTCTTAAGTCCTTTTACTAACTTTACCTGCCATTTTATGTATTCTTTCAAAAAGCTTCCAATCTTTGGGATACAATATACAAAATCCTATAAGGATAAAAGACAAAATATGTCTGTATTTATTTATAATCATCATCCTTCATGTAAACTCCATGGCAGAGGAAGCTACATCTGCCTCGCTCATTGCTATATCCTCAATGTCTAGTCAATGCTCAGCATGTGATAAATGCTGTAATATCTGGTGAGTATAAGCCTGTCCAATACCCCATTGATCCTGCAGGTTCACAACAGCTTACTGAACCAGAGGATTTAACGGACAGATCATCAAGTCATCCAGATCTCTTATCCCCATTGTAATCGATGGCTCTTTGCCTATAACCTATCTCTGCCAATATTTAGATAGCTGCAAGTCTCATGAGCTATTCCTGACCACATTCCCTTTGGTTTAACTGTAAGCTCTTCTGGACTAGCCTACTGCAAGGACACAAATCTCACAACATGCCCCATCTTCCAGATTACTCATAAAAATGGCAAATGAGTCTTGCTGAGGTATCATGATATGATTACTTCTGCCTCCTCATTTTACCCATAGTATCAACCTTTAATCTAGTTTGTTACGAAAAAAAAAACTTTTTTCCAATTTATACTAACATTTAAGTAACTCTTAGTATGAAACACCAAATATCTTCTCCATGATTTAAATATGCCAATAGCTCTCTATTATCACTTCTTTTTGCTTTCCAGAAAGAAAAAAAATAAGCTAGGTTTTACACTACTTCATAAAGGTCATGCAATCTTTCACCCCTGCCCCAATAGCATTAACATTTTAATACTCCTACCCTTTATTCAACCAGTGGGCTCGTTACCAAATGAAAATATACCTGTTATTCCAAAGGCTACATTTAGAAATCACACTAGCACTTCCCTGTCCTACGGAAAGAAGGAATTTGGAATAGTAGCAGAGAGAACAGACAGCTATTCACACACTACTCTTACTTCTCTATGCCTCAACACTTAAGGACAATGAAGACTGGGGATCTTTAATGTAAATGAAAAATAAATGAAGGAAAATTTCAAGTGATCAAAATAATTTCAATGAAATCTAGTCTGTGAAGCTGCTATAAACTGATGAAACATAAAGGCACTGAATTATATATGCATCCAGTAATGTGAATACATGAAAATCCAATTTCTTTTCTTGAGTAGTACAATTCTCAATTAGCCAAGAAAGCAAAACCACCACCACCACCACCACCCCACCACTTGGGACCAACATTTACGTCTAAGATTCCATGGCTTTACTTTCATAGCAGGGAGCTCTCAACAAGTGGGGCATTACTCTGCTCCAGATCACGTGACTATGGCATTCCCATTATAAAGAGGCACTTCCTAGTAGGTTACAAGATAAGCACCTACAGTCTCAAAGGAGGCTATAACTTCCAACGAAGCAGGCAGTAGGCAGCCTTTGCATGGGAGCAGGTGAGGCAAGAGGCAGTGAACAATGGTTAAAGATAACATTTCTCTAATAGGTGTACCTGGGCACAAAACTAGGTTGAATTCATTGAGGGCTCTGTGAACTTGGGACAAATTCTTTAAGCCTATTACCACATAATTATACCTTCTTTGTACAATTATCAGGAATAAAGAATATCTAATCCACATGAAATGCTTAGTCTAAAAACCTATGTGACTACATTGTAAATATTATTTAGCTCTACATCCACCTGAAAATGCAAAGACCTAGACCATTAAAAGTTGAGAGTAACCTGAGTCCGTGACAGTGTTCTAGAATAATTTACTCATGCAGTGACATTCACTGCTTTGTGCATTTCAGATGAGTGTGGGTGGTGTATCTTAAAAGTTATCCTGAAATATATTTAGGAAAACGGGTTTATATTTAGTGCTTATATAAAAGCTTTGAAAACATACTTGGGTCAGTTATTTTTTTTCCCCCAATGTCCAGTCTTCGGTTCACACTGCTTCTTTAATTCCCAGCCACGTTAAAAACACTCCAAGACAAATCTTCTCAAAACGGCATTTTTCAGTAACTTTGTCAAACAACCACTTTCCACTACCACAGGCAGGACAAAGGTGCTTAAATTTATATAAACTCAGGGTGGTAACGGTGTTTAATACTAAGCTTACATTTAGGGGCTTTTAAGACTTCACCATTTACAATGCATTTTAAAAACTACAACATTTTGTGTGTGTCTCGAAACAACTCCATGAGGTAAGGTAGGGTACGAATTAGTATTTTATAGCTGGGGAAACAGGCACAGACAACGTAAATAACATGACTAAGGTTACACACAACTAGTGTTGAATTCTGGATTCAAACTCTGATCTTTTCACTCCACGTCCTTGCCTTGTCGTTCAGTTTTCCTTTCACAATACCACACGCTGTGGTAATGAGCTTCTCAGTTCCCTTGTTCTAAGAGTTTGGAAAAATTAAATAAATTCCGGCTATTTCCTAAACTCACAAACTGAGTCACTAGAAATGACAGTTAAGTCAAAGTCAAAAGTTATTTTATTTCACTTTCCATTAATAGTTTTTAAAAGTAACTCCTCTTAAAATGAGTGGCCACTAATTGAGATTAAATAGAAAAAGTGCATACCATAATTAGAATTTTGAAGTTAGTTTTTCTTACATTCTAATTCTTAGAAACAAGCAATGCCACCCCCACCCACTTCCAGGAAAGAAAGATGTAAGGAAGGGTAGCTGCCCGCCTCCTTCTCCCAGACTGGTGCTGAGGCCCCCTCCCTCATCCCTTCCTTTATTGGGATTACAGCAGCCCCCTTTCTCCTTCCTTTAGCAAGGATATTACTGTCATCAACATCCTCCCTTCCAGGAAAACAAAACATTTCTTCTTCTTCCATCTCAAAGGATTATAAATAGAAAATGTACTTAGACCGAAGTGGGAAGAAGGCTTGCTGTGGGATAAGGACTTGCACTTTGGAGATTCAAATCAGTTTCAAGACCAAATTTTTTAACGATAATTATCAGTAACCTTTCTCTATTCTCATTTTTTTCCCCCTGTAGATTTGGAGCTTGTATAGGTACCTTGCTTTAATACTCACCTAAAGAACCATGCAGGGGCTAATCTTCAGCTTCAAAGGGTTAAGTATCTTTGTGGTTCTTCAAGACTAAATTCCCTTGGAGAAGACCCAAGAGAGGTTTTCTTTAAATGACAAATTCTGTATCAGAAATACTTCAATACAATGAACTTCCAGTATAACTTCCTACTGGGGTCAACATAGCTTCTTCCTCCACCTGCAAGCTGTTCTCTAATCTACATTCACTGGATTAATACATGAGTTTGGATTTTCACTGCCATTTAAACAGATGAATATTCAATGCCTGAGGAGCAAGGTTATGAAATGTCAAAACTACTAAGTGAAGGATCTAATTTAAGAGGCAGCCAGAGAGTCTGCAATTTAAATATTTAAAGATGATACAAGGAGTACAACGCTGAACACCAATCTACTCCAAAGATAGCAATTTAAAACCCAGGTTTATTCTGGAATTTCTCACAACCCTACAAGTGATATAATAAACAAAGACAAGCAATATTGAGATTATATGAGAAGAGAGAAAGGGAGGCAGTTAGAAGTAACAGGCAAATAAATGCTCTAGCTTATGGCTTCTCAAATTGTTCTTCACAAATGAGACTGGACAAAAAAGATAAAAATAGATTTATCAAAGTAATTAGGTCTCAAAAATGGAATAGTTTGAAATACAGTATATTCCTTGTAATTAAAAACTAATTTCTTCATCAGCAGCTAAAACTAATTATACATTAAACATGCAAAGATGAGTAACACATAATACTAAGAGTGGGTATCAAAACAAAAGTTAATCAAAATACACAGAACTAAAAGTAACAAAAATATATTATGAATAAGAATTTGTAATTTATTATATGTACATAGTAAAGTTTAAAATCCCAGTATATCACTTTGAATAGAAGTCCATTTAAATACTTTTGTCCAAACACACAACTAGTCTCATTTCTCTGATTTATCAATGGAAAGATCAGTTAGAGTGGACATTAATATCAACAGATTAAAGTGGTAAGGTCCATAAATGAACAAAGCAATTCCTTCTTTTTTAAACTAAGAGCATTTAAAAAATCACCCACTGACAAGATCACCATTGAACAACTTTTATCACTTGTCAATTATTGAGCCAGAACTACAAATATTAAACCCAAAAATTAGATACTTGCCACTTTAGACTTTTTTGAAAAGCTCCATTCAATCTCTCCTGCTGAAAGGAGTGGATAAGGTCAGCCTGTTTAAGCTGAGTTAATTGCCATTCAAAAAAAAAAAGGAGTCTTGCTTGATAGAACCATCTGGAAAACGACACTATCACTAAACAAAAGTTGGCTATGGGAGGCAGT